TAGCTGCTCCTTGATGTTCGTTCCAGGCACGTTTATCTTTTATGGCGTTTGCATTGGCTACTCATTTTGCCTGGAATATTATCTGCCTCCCTGCTTCTGCCCCCTCCCCACCCAGATCTGCTTGGCTTTCTTATCCTGTTCAAACTGTGCTCAAATGTCCACTCGGTGAAGTCCCCTCTGACCACGCCATTAACATTTTCATCTCCCTCGTTCCTAGGTTTTTTTTCCTCCGTAGCATTCATTCCCCTTTAATTCTATATGATTTACTTACCTATTCCTTCCTTGTCTGTACTATGACGATGGCGTTCTGTAGCACATTGAATATTTCTGGCTTCAGATTCTTTGCCATAATAGCTTGCCGGTGATTGTTGCAGTGAATCCATTTTATATGTGATGCTAATTTTTTTTTTTAAATCTCATTTTTATCGTAGTCAAAGAAGCAAGCTGCTCTCCATCAATACTTCTGTTTACCTTGTTTTTCCATATTAAGGAGGTCATTTACTTTTGAAGATATCTTTCCTTTTGTGGCTCACAAAGAAGTAGTTCTTCGTGTGTATTTCATTATGATCGATTCAGAATCCTGTAGGCCCTGTAAGGTGAAGCATATTGGAAACCCCCTATATTGCATAATTGGTTCTAATACTTGTTTCTTAACTTCTACAGCAATGTTTTCTACATGTATTCAATCAATATTTCCTGACAAAAGAATGTAGTTTCTTTTTATATTTTTTCCCATGTCAGAAAGGAAAAGTGTAGATTTTTTTTGTCTTTCACTACTAAGGAAGAAACCTCAAAAGGAGTTTGGATTGTAAAGGTTTGGATTAAGTATAGCATGATTTTTTAAACTTCACTGGAATAAGTGTAAGAGTTTGTCTTCATGTTCTAAACATTTTACTCATTGTGATTACTGTCATTAGCTAGTTTCTCAAGGCACAAAATATACATAGGACAAGGATAGTATATGTAAATTCATATTCAAATGGTTTTGAATTTTTTGTCCTACTTGTCAGATGTGATGGAGTTATGGTTTTTTAACCCAGTAATGTGGCTGATGTAGAAAGTGAGGTGTCAGCTCTGTCATTTTCTTCAGCTTGGTTTGTGCTTCTGTTACCTTCTATCTGCAGGTGTTTTGTTATTTTGCAAAAAATCTTTTTGTGCATTTTATTGGGTTGTTTTTTTTTAAACTAGATACATCTGTCAGTCTACTTAACTGGGCATTCAGAAACGTCTGTATGTCAGGATATGCTGAGATGACAAAGTGAGTGAGGGCCGACTGCCCCACCCTTCTGCGGCATGGAGCTGAGCTGCCAGTGCTCGTTTTGAGTAGCTCAAAAACAAGACAGTAACTCTGCCAGATGGACAAGTGACAGTCCATCAGTGTCAATCGTTATTTTAAACATAAGGTGGTAAAACTTAATTTTTCCTAATTCTTAAATAAAATATAAATGGAGGATCTAATATTCACTTTCCAAACCACTGTCGATTTTTTTTTTTTTTTTTTTTTTGCTTTAAAGAACGAAAGTTTATTTTCTCACAGTTTAGGATGCTGGAAGTCCAAATTCAGGGCACCGATATAGGAGAAGGCTCTTTGTCCGCTCTGGGAGAAGCTCCTTGTCTCAGCATCATTAGCCCTGGAGTTGCTCGATTCTTTGTCAATCCTCATTTCATTTATCTTCCCCCATTTGTGCTTGCTGTATCTCTGTGCCTAAGCCAATCCTTTTAACTCAGAAGGGATTAGGTTTAGAACACACCTTGCACTGATATGGGCTTATTAACATAACAAAGAAAACTGTTTCCAAATAGGATTACATTCTATTGGTTTAGGATTCCTACACATTTTTTTTTTTTTTTTTACCACTGTCGCTATTTTGAGGTCATCCTACTTTAAGATAATTGGTATACAGAGCTTTAAGAACTTGTTAAGGCTAATAATGTAGAGAGCACTGAATTTTTTTTTTTTTTAAATTAGCTTGGAAATATGTCCACAGATCTCTAAATTTCTTTTCCTTTTTCATTTTGTGTCTGTGTTTGCTCTATAAAAGAAAATAGCCTATATAAAATAATTACTGTGTACCACACAGACACTATGGCAAGCTATTAAATATGTTGGTTTAATGTAGAACAAAAATATGGTTTGGGTTCTTCAAACTCTTTTATTAGCCCAAGTACTATCTAAAATATTTTTAATCATAACTGAGAACTTTTCCTTTCATGCATATTTGTTAATTAGTATTTCTGTTTAACTTAAAATGTCTCTTTTAAAGTGATTTATAAGTAGTTATTTGAATCAACCATGTATTCATTCGCTCCATTCTCATACCTCATAAATGGTTTCTTCAGGTCTGGTATCTGGCCACTTTAAACTGATTTTCAATTAATAGCTGTACAAGGTCTTTCTCTAACTAGTCTAACACTAGATGTACATGTTAACTGTTTCTTTTTTAACTACAGATGAAGTAGGGGAAAATAATGGCGATGATGTAACTGCTACCGAATTAGATCCATTTTTGACAAACTCATCTGAAAGTGAAAGGTTTGCTTCTGAGTCAAGTAGAACCCTGACAGAAGAGCAACAGCAAAGAATTGAGAGAAATAAACAACTGGCCTTGGAAAGAAGGCAGGCAAAGCTCCTGAGTAACAGTCAGTCCCTAGGAAATGGTAAATTTTACGCTGGGTTTTATGTGCTACCATTAATATACGAAGGGCATGTTAGAATTTTAACTTCTCTACTGTCCCCCAAAATAGAAAAATGTGATACAGTATATTTGAGAGAGAGTTGAAGTGTGTGTATGTGTGTGTGTTTGTGTGTGTTTGTAATCCACAAAGAATAAATAAGTCCAAGAAGTTTTTTCTGGACAGCAGCCCAGTACCTCGTAAAGATTATTTTAATCATTTAAAATTGATTCTGAATCTTTCAAAAATATATTCTTTCTGACTCCTTAAAGCATATGACACATAATTTCACCTTCAGGATCATAATTGTGAACATTGATTATTATGGTACTCTCCTAAGCAGATAAAATGCCTTCTCCACCCATTGAGGATTTTAGAGGTGTTTGCTGTGATGTGAATATGTCCTGAAATGCTTTTTATTGCAGTTGCGTTACTTGTTGTGAGCTGTCACTTTTGGTGGTTGTTAGTTTGCTT